AGATAGAGGGGGGGGGGACCGATGTTAATGGAAATAGTGAGTCACAACAAGTCCGTCATTGTGCACAATTTCTTGCCATATCCGAGAGCGTTTCCAGCCATGTGTTCCGGACGCTTCACACTACAGCCAGGGAGCCGAGCGCGCTCGACCTCGGCTAGCTTTGAGGTTAGCTCGTTCATGCTCCTGGTTCAAGTCACACGTTGGCCACTTTGCTTTCGCTTCCAGCCGACTTCTGTATGCGCGAAAAGGACACGGCGAGGTAAGAGATGAGTAGGCACGCGGAGAAGGTACCCAAGCCACTGAAGTTTGCACAGAGAAATTATATTGCTTAGTGGTCGCTCTCACTGTGGCATTGTAAACTCGTCCTTTCAGAGCTAGACTCAGGTCACCTCGGCGCCAGAAACAGCGGAGATTCGCAATAGCAACCCGAGCCTTGGAGATGCGCAAACAGACATCATCCGTTAAAGCATTAGCGCTGAGGCAGCTACTGAGGTAAACGAACTTGTCCACCACTTCCAAGGAATGACCTAGAAGGGTAAGAGTAGGAACAGCGCCTAGCCAGTTCTACTGGAAGACCTTGCACTTCGATAGTGCGAAGGTCATTCCAAAATGGATGACAGACATCTCCAACCTACACAGGATATGTTTGGCGGCCTGTGAGGAAGCGCAGATTACAGCAATGTCGTTTGCATACTCCAAGTCGGTCCCCCGGAAGCAGTTCGATGCCGTTGGGTTCGCAGTTCTCCAGAGCACTCATCAGAATTTCGTTCGTAGGGAAATTGAACAGGGGGAATGCTGGGCAACCCTGTCTTACGCCACTGGTGATACCAAAAGAAAGTCCGCCGTAGACCCGCACTCGGCCCGAGGTTTGAGAGTAGATGGCTTGAAGTGAGATACTTCCTGGGCACTCCCCGTCTCAGTAGACAACTCCAGAGAACAGCTCTATCGAGGAAGTTAAACGCGGATCGTATGTCTAAGAAGAAAACGATCGTTGATTGGCCAAGTGTTTGACGACGCTTTAGTATTTGCCGAAGTGTAAAGATGTGATCGATGCAACTCAGACCTGAGCGGAACCCAGCTTGCTCCTCGCGTATTCTCTGTTCGCACACCAGGCTGAGCCTCTTTAGAAGCAGATGCGAGCGCGTTGGAAGCAACACAGATGAGACTAATCCCTCTGTGGTTGGCGCAGTCAGTTCGGGTACCCTTTTCGAAGACAGGCACGATATCCGCTAGGCTGCAATCAGATGAGATAACTTCAGTGAGCCAGATTTCTTGGAGAAGTTAACTCCTAAACAAGTGATGGGTCGCCATCCATTGAAAAGAGCTGGAGGGAATTCATCTGGTTCAGGGGCTTTGTAGCGCGTTAAGAGGCGAAACTCATGGGCAATCTCAGCCTCGGATGGTGGTGAAGCATTTACACACAAGGGAGCGCTCTGGGCTCCAGAATGGGAACTCATTGGTGTTGCTGGATAAGTAAACTGCTGCTCAAAGTGCTTGGCCCAACGCTTGAGTCGGCGTTTTTGACAGTGGATTGCTTTTGCAGAAAACCGCTTACAGTCGGCCTTTTGCCGCCAGTAGATCGGACCAAAAGGAAAAGCTTACGGAAATTCCCAGAGATGGCCGCTTACTCTATCTCAATGACCCGTTGCGTCCACCAGACTTCGCGATCTTCCCTGAGCTGTTTGAGCTGTGTTATTGGTCTTGCGTAGTGAATGGTATTTAACGCTTGCAGGAATTGCTTGACGGCCTTCGAGAAGTTGGAGGGATCGTGCAAAGATCCAGTGATTGACAGGACTAATGGTGAAGCCACAGACCAGGGTTGCAGAGTTGTACATGGTGCCGCGAATGTGTCCAGTGTGTTTCAATGTCTGTGCATGAGGCTAGCTTCAGCCTCGAGACCAAAGCATCCTGAAATGCGCGGAGAACGTTTGGGGCAGAAAGCATAGCTACGTCAAGCCGTTTCTGGTGACGCTGCTGGGAGCCACCAAAAGGTAGCACAACCTTGGTACACACCAGCGCGTGATCCGAAGTGTGATACGTACTCCAGATTGGTTTGCAATCATGTATGCTCCCCTGCCAGCGATAGCTAATGACGACGTGGTCAATTTGTGTCCACGGCTGGCCAGGTGATGGGGGTCTCCAAGTAGCGCGTCGGCGAAAGAATCCCCGGAAGCTAGTGATCGGCAGAAAGAGGCCGGGATTGGCGCAAAGCTGAAGTAGTCGATCACCGTTATCAGTTCTGCGAGTGCCATGGCCGCGCTGGCCACCGAGTTCACATTCGTCAACTTCAAGTCTACCGACCTGCGTGTTCAAGTCCCCGGCGAGCACCACGATGTCGGTACGGCGCATTTTACGAAGTAGGCATAGAACTCATCTTTGACTCCGGGCTGCAATCTGTGGGAGCGTACGGTGCGACAATGAATAGATAGCATCTGCTGGCTTCGCGCCTGGACAGTCGCACTGAAGTTTTAAGTCGACTGTTTACAGGGATCCAGTCTAGTAACGCGGCCTCAGCACGTGTGCTCAACGCAATCCTCGCGTCGGCATAACCAGCGGCTTCGGCGGTTGAGTCTCCAGATAGGCGCAAAGTGAAAATGCCAGTGGAATTCGCAGACGGTGAAACTAGTGGGAGCGTCGTGGTAGAGTCCTGTAAACGGGTCTCGCACACAGATGAACTCTAACAGTGCCCTCCAAGTAGATAGAAACGAACTGGAATAGTTTGTGGGTATAGTGATGTTCATGAGCGTTTTACATTTGCCACGCCCAAGAATGTACTGGTCCGGCAAATGCCGAACAGCGCAGGTGGCTGATGTGATGGCCCGAGATAGACGGGAACAAATGAAAAGATATCTCCAGTTCAATGATTACACTAACATGGAAGTGGATAATGGAGATAAACTAGTCAAAAGCAGACCAATCATTGGTTCGCTTATGCCAAAGTTTCAGTCTCCCTCAAGGCCAAATGTTGTCCGTTGACGAGCAAACAGTCCGATTCAAAGGGAGGTACAACTTTAGGCAACGTATTTCCGAGAAGCCACACAAATGGGGATACAAGATCTTTGTGCTTAGCAATACAAGAGGGCTAGTGCAGGCATTTGATATATTCACAGGGAAAATGGGTCCTGTTCCTGGAGAACCTGACATCGGTGTAAGTGGGAAAGTCGTTCTGCAGCCTGCACAGGTTATTCATACCAATGTGAACACTTTACTATGGTTTGAAACTTGTTTTCTTCCTTGAATTTATTAGTTGCTCTTGTGAACAAGGGAATACTAGCCCTTGGGACAGTACAGCGAAATCACCCACCCGGGTACAGTTTCAGCGAAGACACTGACATGAAGAAGAAGGGAAGTGACGTTTGAAGAAAAGACAGTCATGGTGGAAAATGTAGAAGGGCTGTCAAATGGTTTGACAACAGGGCAGTTCTCGTTGGCAGCAATTTTGCCAATACGCAAAAGACGGAACAGAAATTTGAAAGTGGATGTACCTGTGGAGTGATCAAGCATCATCATCCTGTATACTTAGTTCATGGGCGGCGTTGATGCTCTGGACGCACTGATTGCTTATTATCGGGTCCATATCAGGTCCAGAAAATACTACCGCAGGTTTTTTCCATTTCGTCGACATGGTATTAGACAACAGCTGGTCACTCTATCGACGTGAATACGACTACAGAATCAGAAAGACTTGATTGCTTTCACATTAGCTATTGCAGAGGCACTGCTCATGCAAGTCAAAGACATCAACGAATAAGTGGGGACGGCCTTCAGCATCAATGGAAACAGTTAAAGGAAGAAACGCCGAGGTCCAGCTCAAGCTATTCCAATAATAGAAGTTCGGTCAGATTCTCTGCGTCACTGGTCAGCGGTTGATAGTGCACCGCAACGATGTAAACGCCCAAATTGTACGGAACAGACAGTAAGCAAGTGCAATGCTCACTTGTACCTCAGCAAAACGAAGAGCTACTTTAGAAAATTGTACGAGTAACACTGTATCTCCTTACTTGACTTTTCATGATTGCTACTGAATATTAGTTTTAACCTGAATTGTGGACAGAAGGAAGTGACCAATTGTTGCTTCAATAAAAAGTTTACATATTTGTGACTGGGAAATTTGCTGTGTCCTTATTTCGCCTGTTTGTGACTGATGTCGCGTTTTTGTATCACGCCCAAATTTATATCTATAGTGTGCTTTGTAATTAAAACAACTGTCTCAACTTTCTTTAGCACATGCATGTTAGTGAAATCATAAATATTTTTCTAACAATGGTAGAAAATTAATTAAAATTAAGGTCAAGTCGTATTGCGGTGGTGAGGTAAATGCAAGTAAGTCATGTGAAAGAATGGAATGACAACATTAGTCAGAACCCAATGGGCAAACAATAACAAGGACGATGTAAACACTGGAGGATGAATAAGTGCGGACACTCGCGTATGTACAACTACATATCTGGAAATGCAGACCAATGCGAAGACAATGCAAGCGATAAGAGCGTAGTGCGGATGGTCTAACGTCTATTGTGCCAACAAATCGGGTACAATGCATTAGGTCCAGCAATGTATCATGCGCACATGCCGGAGAAGATAGAAGGTAAGCGATGAACGACTCTCCGAAGGCGGCATCCTGCGGAAAAAACGAACAGAACTTGAGGTCCCTAAGCACACGCAGAACAGAAGTAATAAAGTGCGTCGAACTGTTACAGCTGAAGTCGACTATTCACAGTTCGTGTATCCATTAGGCAGGAAGTCCTCGGCTCACAAGAAAAAAATAGATAATTAGTTGAAATGTGCTAGCGACAAGAGGCAGTGGGATGTGCGCTACTTCAAAGCCTTTAGAATATTAGGATGATAACGCCCAAATAAAATGTGATAAGACAAGTCGGTATGTGACGCAAGTCAGAGGGAGCATTACGAAAGCAGAAACGAGCGATTAAAAGTGAAAAATGCGGCACATAACAAGAAAGAGCACCAAAACAAAAAGGAAGGCCAAAAAATACACATACCAATGAAGTCGGCTCAGTAGATTCTCCCATGTCGTCCAGAGAATGACCATCTGGTTTCCGTTCGGCATGATCAGTATTCAACTCGCGACCGTGAGTTTTGGACACGAGACGTGGACTTGTATTGTCTCGACTCGAATGAACGTCTGATTGTCGTCGATGGGTGCGAAAACCATCAGCAGTCAACGCAGTCTGCTCCCCGTCACTGAAGCGATTCTCATGGAAGTGGTCCCGCTGTCTGGTATATCCGGAACCGGCAGCATGACGAAACTTTTGAGTCGAGGAATAACGGCGGTCATCCCTACCAGAAGTAATACGTCGTTGATCAGGAACACTCATCTCCTCACGAGTCTCCACATCACGGACATTCGTGCCCTGTCGGACATGAGTTGACGGGCTAGCAGAAGCTCTATGAGAGTGAGCAGTTCGCGCGTCTAGAGGTTGGATGGAGGGGAAATTGAGCAAACAAATTGTTGCAACCAATCATGAAGGATGTAAAACTGAATATGGACCCATCGTCAAACGAGACAAGCGAACATTGCAAGCGCAAAACTAAGGAATCCTGTGGCCACATATTCATTCTACACGTTGACTGAAAGTGAGAAATATCTTAGCTACTGTGCCGCAATACTATGCAGTGGGAGAATAGAAAAAAGAAAATAAAAGAATAGAGAGAACACAGAACAGAATAAGTAGATTGTTACGTTTTATTCTTACGCATTGGTTATTAGATAGCGATTGGAGGTGGAGGCTACGCGGGAGGACGGGACACAGAGGAACTCATAACACAAAGACCACTGAAATTTTCCTTTAAAAACGTCTACAATGTGTTCAAACAAACGTGTTCATCGTCTTTCGAACAACAACCAAGAGACTTTAACCGGAGCCAACTTTAAAGTGAGGACCTGCATTCCACTTGAACAAATTAAAGCTTGGCATCCCCTCATTTTCTTCCATCCAGATCCCGGTCCCGCAAAGAACGCACTTCGCGGAAGTCGGTGTACTGGCATGTGTGAGACATAATCCAACCTTTGGAGCCTGGAGCGTAAAATAACGGTGCTGCGCGGTTCAACGCCTTCCTGTGCCATAAACAACGGGCCAAATACGCTCAGGGTGAATGAAGTGTTCCCAAGAAACATCAGCTAAACATTGAAGGCATTTGTGGTCGAACGTCAGTAGACTCTATGTTTGCCGATCTACTGAACCAGTTTTCGCAACCGTAACGGACGGTTGAATGAACGGTTGCATTGTAATCCACTCTTCAGGGTGAAAGTGGTGTCGTGCCGGCACCATAAGTGTCGAAGTTGAGCAAAAGCACCTTGAGCTTTGGCTATGCTTGTCTGGTATATAGTCTTCATTACTACAGGCGCACAGGTAATTAAATTTTTAAACAACCTATAGCTATTCTCACTAAGGATCAACACAGAGGGTGGACCCTGCCAATATTGAAGAGGTCTGAGTTTGGAGGGCTCAAAGCGCAGTCTGAAACTGCTGATATTAAGTGATACGTGGTACCCTTCTAAGCTGTCACGGATTAGGGAAATATTATCTGCACACTCCAATTTAACAAGCAGCTCCACAATCCTAAGTCGTGTTCAGTGAACGCGGTTTCCATGAGTTCATCGATGGCGAAGTTCAAGGTGACAGCTGGCACTTGTTTCACACCGTTGGAGATATTGAAGGGCGGTGACAGCTTGCTATAAGAACTCAGACTATGCGCGTAAAGCGCTCTGATAATATTTGCGAATTTCCTGGGCACATCTTTCTTAATCAATCAATCCCACATCGATCCTCCGAATCGAAGGCGCTTTGATGTCGAGGGACATGACTACAGTGGGTCACCAATACAGGTGACGGTGCTCCAATAAATGGCGCTAAGTGGATATGTGATCAATGCAGCTCCAGTTTCGACAAAACAAGAGACTGCTGTTCACGAGTCGGGCTTTCACGGACACCAGGCGATCTGTGAAAAAAGACAAGCAAATAACTTGGGGACAATATAGATCACACTGATACTTCTATGATAGTCGCATTCTAAACGAGAATCTGTTCCCACGGGTATGCAGGTTTGAACCACTTCGTGACCGGCCGACACGACTCTTAAGGTAAAGAAGGAAAGCTGTTGGAGAAACGATCAGTGAACTTGTCGCGATATTCGTGCATTCGTGAAAGTTTATCTTAGACCCCCCCTACCTCCTTTTTAAACATATACTCACAGTGACAATTTTGGCCACTTTGTTACTTTGGTTTCTTTTGCAATGCAGTTACGAACAAATATTTGGGCCTAAGGTAAAGACAATTTTGTGAGTGGGTGGCCAAATGTCGATTAATCCCGTGAGTTGTACTCTAGTTAGTTTTGGAGCACTTGATTATGCATGTACATGTGTTTAATGCATCGTGCATGGAAAAGCAACGATGATGAACCCATGGTGAGCTACTTGGGACGTAAAAATTGTGCAACGGTTAGACCTCAGCAACAAGGTCATAGCTCATTTTGTCGAGAAGCGCAAAACTCAGCATAAAATTTACCGAAAAGCAGACACTGATGTCAGAAAGTGGGATAGAGATGACTGCACCAGTTAAACAGCCGCACCAAAAGATAGCGAATATAATGGAATTGCAAAGAACAGACAAGTGGTACAAGAAAACTTACTAACGTTAACTGAGACTGCAGCGCCGCTGGAAAACACGACGGAGCGCCTTCCTCTGCCATGTGGTTTAATTTTATTTGAGAACAGTTTAGATGAACCCCGAGGCCCACGGCCAATTGTTGAAGCTGCACCGTCATTTTGTTCCCAGAGGTGAGCAAGATCAAGCGAGGTAGTTGAAACCTTTACTTCCATCAGTCCAGGTACGCGTTTTCCTTCCGGTTTAGTTTCTACATGGTCTGGTGAAGTATGGGTAACAGATGGTGCGCACTGAATGTCTGGTTGAGCAGTAGAAATGATTGTGGAAGAATGAAGGGAGTCCGTTTTAGAGACCGACTCATTTAAACCACTCGAGTTGAATTCATCGGAGTTGCAAGGCGTACAGGCGAATCTAGCATCCACATGACTGGCACCTCGATCAGCTGGCTGTTGAATGCTAACCCGATCATGCATCGTGGAGGGAAAGGTAGTGTTCGCTGGAGTGTCCGTGATGGATGAATTGGTCAGCACATCCGATGAATGCTGCACTCCTTGCTGACGGTTCAGTATCTCAAGGAATTTCTCAACAAGGTAATCCGGATTGAGAAAAACTGTATTCGCTCTAGGTGAAACGCCTCGTGGACAACCAGTAGTTAGAGTGTTATGAAGAACCTGAGGTATGGTAGACGAATGAGTGCCACGTAGATCAATGGAAGAAGCAGGTGCTGACGGAAACGGACTTGACCAGTCATCACACAAACCTGCGGTAGCAGAGTGAAGGGCCGCTGAAAACGGTTGATAAGGCTGGGATGCGCTGACAAAGCTAGGGGGCAGCATAGCCCCAGCGGATCTCACAGGAGATGGACCACTATTCCCGTTACACGCCACCGCAACTGCGGTAGCTGCCGCTACAGCAGCAGCCAAGTCGGGGCGATGTTGGTTCGTGGCCTGGATATGAGAAGAGGGGCAAAACGGTTGAGATTGCATTGCGTTTCCCACAAATGGGTGTGAGGAAAGCCGATTCGCTGGGAAAAGTACGCTATCCGCAAATTTCGGAGGTGCCAAATGTGGTTGCAGAGAAGTAGGACTCCCCGAAGTTTCACGTATGACGTCCACAACCGAGCGCTGATGTGACGAGTCGCCGGAGCTACGAGAGATCGCTTTTTGCTGGGCAATCCGAGCCTGTTGGGCTCTTTCCACTGCTGACCTGAATTCCTGAGTGCGCGCCTGACGTTGAGCGTGTTGAATTTCTGTATCCATATCGATTGATGGCAATGTGGAATCAGTAAACCCAACGGATGCGGACGGTATTATCGACTTTGGTGACATATTGTTAAGAAAATAGTGTTCTGGAAGAGAGAATGAAAAATGAGCAGTAGCTAAGGCGGGCTTCATAAAATTAGCACGATATGGTCGTAACAAGTACCGTACTGAACGAAGCGGAAGGATGAATAGGTAAGGTGCCATCTTAATGGATTAGCAACTGGGAGTAAGCGAAAAACTTCCCCATGGTAAGCAAACCAACTTAAAATAAAAGTAGGTAGCTTTATGCGTGGAAAAGCAATGGAGGCAAACTGGGAAAGGGCATTAACATGAAGCTGTCATGATCCAGCGAGATGAGAAATATTCGCGGAGAATGGTCAGAAGTAAACAATGAAATGAAAATCTCATTTCACTCTTGAGCAATCTGTCATGAACATTTGTGCACCAGGTGGAGTCGTCAAGGAACGTATCATAATGATGCAAGCGCCAAGTAGCAATGAGGTAGCTCGTGGCTTTAAGTCGAGGAATGTTGTCCATACGTCGGACAAGCGAGCTAAAGGAGGGAAGGAAGAGGATGCTTGACATTGAAAGCTCCCAAGAAGCTGAAGATTATTACATCCTGGGAAAAACGGATGCAGAAGGGCAATGGTCAGTTGGTAAGAAAACATGGTAAGTGATATTAGCGCGCTACTGTGGTGCATTGATACATATCGCACAAGATGACAGTGGTCGGAGGAAAATTGAGTAATTTTAACGAAACGACATGAAAGCGTACGATAGGTGCACCAGTGTGGAGGATAAGCTCATGATCACGACAATCGCTAAGTACGTCAGGACTGAGTAGAAATATGTATTATGCGAAAACCGCGGAAAGTCAGGGGACGTACCGTTGAATGCTGGGTTGAAAGTATGCGACAGTGTGGTATGCGGTAAATATAGATTGTCTAGCAAAGTCCTTTCCGTCGAGCCGACAGGGAGAAGTGAGGCTTCTGACATTTGTGCCATGAGATGTTGATTCGATGAGTGGGAGGATAAACCGAACTCCATGGGGCCACCGGGAGCAGACCAGATATCGGACGTGCTGTGGTTTGTAGATGGTACATCTAAGGGAGCAACGCAGTCTGCCTTAGGCAGACTAACAGCCATCGACTGAACAGTTGCCTTATCGAGGGAAGCAGGTGACTGAGATGTTGGTGCAGGGTAATCGGACTGGACCATTGAATTGGCGCTAGAAATTGTCCCACCAGCTTCTACAATGTTTTCTTGACCATCCTCCTCATCGCTGAAAAGAATCCGCTCATCAAAATTAATTTCCTGGTTGCTAAGGGCAACCCAACCAGTTGGTTCCCCGACAACCTCGCAGGCGCCTACCTTCTTGGATACCGGAGGAGGTGGAAGATCACTTTGAGTCACAGAAACAGATGCTGAAGTTGTGAGCTATAAATGCAACGTAAAATAAAATTATGGCGTTTAACGTGAAAATAAGTGAGCTCAATGTGAAGCGTAATGATGGAGTAGATAAACCGATCGAACGAACGAACAAAAATAGGTAAACCAAGACCCAAGTTCGTGATATAGAATATCAAAAAGCCGGCATCTTTTGTCGAGCCTAAAAACAAACCAGCAGCATAAGTACGCATTGTGATGAAACGCCAGGATTGTGTACTTTAAACGCAAACGAACAATACAAGTACTGCGAGATAACGCTGCAGGAATCGGAGTGAAAACATCGCCGCAAGTACCTCAGCAACAAGACAAATGATGTAGAAGTGAAGGCGATCCAGTTGTTAGATCCGTCCAGTTAAACAGTGAGTACAGCCCTCAATCGTTTTCGTGCCGCTGGCCCGGATTCCCTCCCACCTGCACTATTTAAGGATGGAGGTGAGGACCTCTGCAAAGCACTGACCTCTCTATTAGAAAATATCTGGAAGGAACAGTGTCGCGGCTAACTGGAGTGAATCGATCGCAGTGCAATGAACAAGAAGGGTAGTCGTACCGACTGTGCTAACCACAGGGGTATTAGCCTAACACTCGTAGTGATAAAATTACTTGTCTCGATTCTCGTTCGGCGCCTCACTGCGTAACGGGAATCTCGGAGTAAAGAAGAGCAAGCAGGTTTTCGCCCAGGTGGCTGTATAGACCATATATTCATTCTGCGGCAGGTGCTAGAGCAACGACACGCATACCGCAGACCGAGAATAGCTGTGCACCTTGATTCCAAGAGTGCGTACAATTCAGTCGATCGATGCATTCTGTTCGAAATACTTGCGCGGAAGGGTATTCCCACGAAATATTTGAACATCTTACGTGCTCCATACTCGAGCACTACAGGCCGCGTCAGGGTCTATGGTAACCTATCGGATAACTTTCCGACAAGAAGTGGCATTCGTCAGGGTTGTCCGATTTCCCCATCTTTGTTCAATTTCATCATGGACTCCACCATGGAGTGTTACCTTACGGAATCTTATGATGCAGGTGTTGATGTCCTGCAATGGTAAAAGGATAGTTGATCTTGATTATGCGGATGATATCGTCTTGCTTTTCGACGATGTTGCGGCGACACAATCAACCCTGAATAGGTTGTCTAATGCTCTCATTAGTTGGTATGCGCTTCGCACCTTCAAAATGAAGTGTTACTGCAAGACCCCCAGCCACTTGATGATTCCTTGATCCTAGATAGCAAGGAACTCGAGGTGGTTGATCAATTCACTTACTTTGGCAGCTGCATCAGCAACGATCGGCGCATAGAAACTGAAGTCAGTTCACGCATTACAAAAGCCAGAGCTACCTTCTTGAACCTGCGGCATCTTTGGAGACAGAAGGGAGTTTCCCACCGTCTGAAAGGCAGTGTATACAAGGCCACAGTGAGGACTGTCCCGCTCCTTCGGTCTGAAGATCTAAGGCGCCTTCAAGTCTTTGATCATTGTTTGCGAAACATTGCTGGTGTCGGATGGCACCAACGTGTTCGCAACGATGATATGCGTAGGCAAGTACTAGGTAGTGATAATCATGCTAACTCCCTAGAACAACAGATAGCACTGAATAAGTTGCGTCGGCTCGGGCACGTACTACGTATGCCTGGTCACCGCTTACCTAAGAGAGCCTTGTTCAGTCTATCAGGTGTAGGGTGGCGCAAGACTTGAGGTGGACAGAAGTTGACTTTGCAGCAGGAAATGTAGTCACTGACGAGCAAAATGGGTGCCGTTGGTCCGTCTCGCCATCCGGGCTGGAGTCCACTTGACTCGCCTTGTGCTTGGCTCGAGACGTTACAGGACATGGCTTGCAGTCGACAGCAGTGGCGCGTCTGCTACCGTATCCTAGCCGGACTGTCTGTTCTAAGTATGTTTGGTATTCAGTTATCTGCGGGGTAATGGCTGATTATGACGCGGGGAAATGAAAACGACAAGGAAGCTGTCTCGCTGATGCTGCCTTATCTTTGCACGATAGCCAGCTGTTTGTGACGGTAGACTGTTAACACAAGGTGTAGGCTTCTTGACCCTGAATGTTTGCTTAGGGCATTAAAGTTTGCAAGTAAGTACCCCTTCTCTCCCTTTTATTATTCTTTATTCCTTAGGTCATTATGGTTGTATGGCAGCGAAGCATCAGTTCAAATGGCTAATGTACTGCTATTGTTGATGTTGAAACACCTAATCTGGACACTGAATCGGATTGGACCCAGTTGTCACAGCTGGCGTAAAATAGGAACATGTGGGCAGAAATCAACGGTAACAGCTAGAATGCAGGAGACATTGAGGCCGCGGTCACGCCAAGTCCGATAAGATTCCCTCCATTGACTTAGTTAATTTCCAAGTTCTCGTACACCAATTAAGCTGACTAAGTTACCTGCACGTTCTTTTGACACCGTTTTGCAACGTCATCGACTGACCCCGCTCGCAGACGAGCTTGGATAGGCGCAGCGATAGGATATAATGCACGCCGAAAAGTGCAATAAACGGACGTAAGGACATGGTCTAGCCAAAGCAAGCGGTTCAAGTTTCGAAGGCACTTTAGCCTTGCACCAGATCACTTTTCGAACACTAGCGGACTTTAGTAACACTCACCAGATTCTCCCGTCAGGTGTGAGAAATACCCTACCAACACTGTGGTTAAAGACCAGTAGCCTTTCAATGTCGAGAATGTGATGTGGATTCCTCGTTGACGGGACCGTCAACAACCACATCCGGTGGATGTTCGGTGAAGGCTAGGACCGGTGGCGTATTGGCCCAGCTCGGCAACAGTACCTTTCGCTCAATGCTATGGTCAACATGATCGCAGTCGGTGGTCTTGGGATGAGTTAGGACAGTGAGGTGGTAGTCACATGTTCCACGAGACAGTTCGAGCCACATGCACGACTCAGCGTACACTGTTATTGCACCAGATGTTATGGTCGCGCACACATTCCATTAGAGGAAGTGCACAGGTTCTAATAGATAAGTCACGTGATTGTGCGAATCGCGTCTGTGGTTTGAACCCGTACAGACTCAAGACACCCTATTGCTCGTGACAAGTCATATTTCCACCCTATCGCCCACTTCCCTATGATTAGTGACTGACGCCATCTGGCAAGCCGTGCTATAGATACCTAGGTGTAAACCTAATGTTTGCTTCTCATTGGATCAGTAAAGGCGCTTGCGCGAGTCAACTTGCATTGGTCCGCAAAAACGTCGTGGGGTATGGCATTTCGTCCTGCGCTCAAAGTTGTTCTCATGGATGGTGGTCCTCCGTATCAGTGACCATGGTTTTCGGGGCTGTGATCAACCAGAACTCCGTTCAGCCAGTTTGCACGTAGGCGAAAGCAGTAAGAAATGGTCAGTTGGTTCGTCTGAATACGGACGGCAAACAAACAGCACGCGGTTGTTCCTACTGGCACCGGCCTACTTCATTCCGCGAACCCGTGCTGCTGCCTGTCAATTCCACTATTCCTAATCATATACCGCCCCAGGATGCTGTGTTCCTACTTGAATGAAATACCCAGGCGTTAATCGACACTTCAGAAGTACATCTGCGATGTTAAGCAGTGTGGATAAGCGGCTTCAAAACCACTCTTCGTGGCACTTTTTGGGCGACCGGTCGGTATTGGGTTAGCTCATCTCTTCCATCGGTGACAATAGGCGGGGGTTGAATCACAAGTATGTGGCTGTTCACCTGCATCCAGTTGAGTAGATTGCCGATAACATAAATATCTCAAAGCACCGACCTGACATCGCTATAGGCGTGAAAGGTATAAGTCAAAAAACCTAGTTAACTTGCTCATGTGTATATTGCGATCCCAGCTCATATATATTCAGATGAATTGACTCAGAGTTCCTAGGGAGATACGACAGTCGACATGATTCAATTAAGATAATATAGTAAATGAGAAATTAGTAGCGAGATTGGTGGATAGTGATCTTGATTCCATTTAAACTAAACATCAGCTCAATAAGGTGATGAAATGGACGGCTGATATTAGGAATCTTGCTGAAAACCACAGAATTGTTTCGCAAGTAAAGTTCGTTGTAATACCGCGTACCGTAGTGGGGCGTTGAAAGAAGGGTTTGTTGGCCGCAAGACCCCCACTAGCCACAGTGACCGACGTTTTCGGAGGCCAAGCAGGTGACTTCATTGGAATTTCAGATCCAGAGTCGATTCCTAAAGACACTTTAGTAGCCAAATGCTCTGACAGCCCGTCAACCTGAGCAGTTCTTCCATCCGATGAGAGGTCCCTGGCATCGCGAGCTGTTCACAGATAGGTCATGCAGACAAACAAGACTAGTGAGGCAAAGGTCAACAATTACAGAAAAGTGAAAATGTAACGGTGTTAAGGGTAAATAACGCAGCGCACTGGGACGCATACGTGGGAGGATTGGTACACACGCCCGAGATGAGAAAAGAAATGGTATGAAGCTAGCTGGCAACCAAAAAGGAAGGCGATTGAGGATAGTTAAAAACAAATAGCATTAATAAACATCAAACCACAAGGTTCGGCGAAGGGACCAATTGTGCTAAGCAGACAATCACAAATTATAACATTCAAAAAGTGCTACGGTCACTGATTGGTGTCTGTTTATCTACCTTTATTCAATACCACAGATCAATTGCAAGGTAGATCTATGTGATTACCTATGCTTGGGCGATTTGATTCCAACAGACAAACAATAGTTAACCTAGATGGGCCTAACCAAAATGTTAGTAAGTGGGTTCAAAAAACGAATGCATTTTTGACTGATGACAGTTCACAAATAGAAGTGACTAGATGCGAGTCAGATGAAGTAATTGAAGGTCAGAAACGGTAAAAATTCGTATCCTTGATGGATAACTAAGCTCAATGGACAGTTTCACCACCTAAGTACCAGGCGCCGCCGAAAGTTGCGGCGCAACAAGAAAACTATTGCCATCGACGCTAAACAAGTCGCCTGTCAAGTGAGACGTCAAAACTTGATGTTTAACATGACCAAACTAAGTGAAAGCGCGCACTGTCTGACCGCAATTATCAGGTAGTCACGAGCAAATGGTGGAGATAAGTGCGTTATTAATTGAGACATTAACGGAAAAATCATTCCAGGTTAATAGCACAACGCAAAAGTGACAAAGATTTGGGAACTAGAATGCTGTACACAAAAAGTTAAGAAAACATGAAAGTCTTACACTTTATAGCACCGGATCCTGTGGTCGTCAATTCCGCGGTTGATGACTCGAATTTTGACCGTGCATAAGCGGGTTCAAAAATGGTTTCGATTGCATCACGACTGAGGGAGCCGTTCAGGGCGGGAAGAGTGCTCGTGATAGGAGGACCGACCGTTTCCGTGGATACATTCTCACTGGAGGTTGGCATGGACTCAGTCGAAGTTGCACCCCACCCACTCCCACCCGGGGGAACGAGAGTGACGCGACCATCGACTCCGCCGGATTCTGCTTTAAGACTAGGAACCCAAGCCGGTGGTGGAAGACGTCGAGTACCCTGCAGTTTGCCAACAACTTGCATTCCGTATTGCCGAACGGCTGAGCAGAGAACAAAAATGGAAGCTTGAAAACAGTTACTAACGAGTCGGGACGAAAAATCATACAATGTAGTGGTAAGCAACCGTGTTGAGAAGTGATAGGTGCATTGGACAAGATTCATCGGTGTGAGTTGTATGCACAGAGAAGCGATGAGGTCTGAAGGACTGTATGAACAGAGGGTTGTGACCAGAAATGGAAAAACCCATGGATCTGGGTGCAAAAATGAAATCATAAGGAGTGGTGAGTAAATATAGTAAGATGTTAAGAAGCGGATTTGTGACTAAGTCTATACAAAGGGGTGACACAGCCAAGACAATTTGCAAGACGATGGTAGAGAAGTTGACTGAGACATCGACTGTAGAACTTTGGGCCATAAGTTAGTAAGACGAAGCTCTGAGAAAAGGAAGTGTAAGTTTTTATTGACTGGCGTATGTGGTCAGTGGAGACATAAAAGGGGTTGGGGTTTAATGAACAATCCCAAGGGGTGCATATCATCCCCTTACATACAAAAATGTAGGTTCAAGATTGCACCCTGGATACCGCCGCACTGACGATGCCACCTCGCATAGTGACAGAAGGTATGCAACCAAATTTTCAAGCTCGCGAATAGATCAACAGCTGAATAGACATATGTTTACTATTGTATGTAAAAAGAAAGCGAACTTTTGAAATAGCGCGCCAACCAGCAAGGGGAGCCCGCTAGCGCGGCCACTGAGGGTACGTCAAAATAACTGTCAGAGCGAAACGTGACACACGACAGTTCCTTGTCGAAACAAGCTCCTACGTGACCTCAGTAGCCATAGCGCGCTCCCTTTGCCGGTTGGCGCACTATTTCAATAGTTCGGTCTCTATTCGGACACAACAGTAAACATGTCTATTCAGTTGTTCATCTGTTTGCCGAGCTTGGAAATTTGGTTGCATATGTTCCGAAACCATGCGAAGTGGCATGGTCAGTACGTTGGCGTGCAGGATTCAACCTTGCTCACCGCAGCGAAGTGGCATGGTCAGTATGTTAGCATGCAGAATTCAACCTTGCTCACCGCACTGACAACGAAGCCACCTCGCATGGTAGCGAAACGTATGCCACCAAATTGCAAAGCTCAGCGAACAAATGAACAAGTGAATCGTTAACCCGAGCCACTAGTTAGTATTCCCAAACATTTTAAACGTTTGTTCATAGCAGTCAAATAAGTGGGCACAGATCCCCCATGGACTATGACTTTAGTTAGTGGTGAGTCACACCACTTCGCGCACAGTTGTTAAGAGGTTAGTAGCTTCGGACGTAGAGAATCTTTGCCAGGTGAAAACCAATTGTCCTGAGAGAACACCACCAAACCGTTTGCTGGAAGGAAATAAGCTCGAATCAATCGTTGTCATGTCATCCATGACAAAAACACTCTGCTCTGGTGTGAAATGTTTTGCTAGAAAAATCCGACGGCGGCGCTATCGGTGCCTAGTGTATGGTCGATGCAAACCCATTACAGTGGTGTTGAATAGAGGACCAACAGAAGTGTGAATTCATTGGGTTTTGATTAGGTCGTACTTCAGTCACGAAAAAGACGGGTCTGCATGAAAAGTGTCATCTTACGACACTGATAGCAAAAGTGTCGCATCGTATGTAATAGGACTAAACGCGTAAAAAGCGCATTAATAGAGATGGCATGTCTAGGAAAAACGCAAAACAAGTGAGCCCAAGCCAATCAAATATCGAGTCGACATTGCAGCTGAAACTAGCGTAGGTCGCGATCGCCGGTCAACTAGGGCGGCGGGTACTCAGTCTCTACCTGAATTATCAATTTCTGTACAATTAGTCGGTGCGTCGATTGGATCATGGTGCAAACGCTTGCGCATCTCGTCAATTCATCTAACTACTGCGTGGTGCTCTTAGGAGCTTGGAGAGCAAGTACCAAGTTGGTTAATGGTCAGAATTCAGATGAATTCAGTCTTGCCTTCCAGATTGAATCAGAACTGAGGTGACACACACTACTAATTTGTGGTCTTTTGCCTCACAGTCAGGCTTTTAGGTCAAAAGTTTCGACTGACGATGCTAATTGCAGATCTGCATAGGCTTCGGAGCGCTCATTGCCGCAATGTTTAATTGGGGTATATTCATCCACACCATGGTGATGACAGTGGTTACATGTCTAACATTGCTGGTGCCTTTTCCGCCCGAAATGTGGAAGGATTCGACGATATTCTTAAGAAATTTAACCGAGAGAGAACAGTTTACGGCTATTAGTCCAGATTGATTAGCGCAGAGAATAAGCGACACGGGCTGTATCCGATGGAGAGCACCACTTCTGCTAGCTGGTTGGTTAGCGTCCGCTTCGAGGCCCCCTACAAATAAGGTGCCAATCCACCAAAAGTCGACGACACTTAATGGTCGTAGGCATATCACTTGAAACGTTCATGAAACGCATATTGACTTAGCTTAAGGTCAATAAGGTTGTGTTTAACTACTACCAGACTGCTACAGCCGCTTTGCTGAGCTGAATCATTGGAATTCGGACTAACACATGAACCATTAGTGCAGTTACCCAGGCCAACTTCCTTCGCTCATTCTATTAGAAGTGTTTGTTTGTTCACAAGACGAGACTCCTGTTCTGACTGGGTGATTTAATGACAACTGGAAGGTTGTGGTAAATACACCGATCTGTCGGAACCAAAACGGCTGGTGTCAATGGAACTATTCTTGTACACAGTGATACTTTAGGGTTTGCCAACCGTGTTCCGTCGGGGAAGGTAGAAATAGACTGTTTTATAGATTAGCACCGGGCTGGTTCAGCGGTCACGAAGGAAGTCTCGAAAGGCTGTCTGGTCTGAAAGTGTCCTTAAACCATCACAGGAGTACAAGAAACGTCTTAGTTGCTAACCCAATCTCAGGGATAAGGTCGGGCTGAACCTACGTCAGCGAGTAAACCCTGACTTTTAGCCGCTTCGATATAAGAGCCTGTTTAGCGCGCAAAATTTGTCGACTGTAAGTCTCCGAATGGCACTTTCAAAGTGTAAAGCGATGTTACAGGACCGGGTCGACACGCAACCGGTCCTTATTCTCATAAACAACCAATAAAAGTTGTAAAGCAGTTCATTTACCTCAGTAGTTGTGGCACCACTGGTGTTCAAATCACTGCGGTAATTTCGCATATCAGCAAGGTTCGTGTGGCTTTTCAGAAGCACAACTATGAAAGCGGGATGTCAGCCGGCCAGTGAAAAGTAGGGTGTGTGACGCTGTATAAAAAAGCCAGTACTACCTTATGGAGTAGAGACCTGGTTAATTCGCGTTGAGGAGACTAAACGATTGACAGTCTTTGATCACTGGTGCTTGAGGAGTATTGCACACATTTGGTGGAAACATCGGTTGGTCAACACTGAAATCCGCTATTTGGCCCTTGACAAACAACCCTCTGGCGGATCACGTGTTCACTGAGGCTTAAACGCCCAGGCCAGCTTGGTCATGTTCTCCGGATGCCGGTTGATTGCCTTTCTTGACGCGCACCATATGCTGTTGTTGCAACTGACTGGACAGAACCACGAGGTGGTCAGTAGATAACGTGCATAACAGTATGAAATTGACCAAAGGACGTTACTACCGTCGTGGGTGAAGGCCTCGGCATGGTCAGCATCAGTGGTTAGAGACACTATTAGACAGCTCTACCAATGGCGTCTCTGCATTTGGTTTCTTGAATCTGTTAATGTTCCATCCCGATTAATTTTACGTACTTTCTTCCTAACCCTCTATATATTCTGTTTGCGTTCTAGCTCATTTTCTCCCCATTGTTATTCGCTATTATCCTGGCGACGGGAGTAGTGGCAGCTGCATCTGACACTTCGATGCCCGGATCCTAGTTGCTTAGCCAAACTGAACCCGTCTCCGGATGTGATCACTAGTTGTCAGTAGGGGTTTCGAGCGTTTACTGGATACTCTTAGTAGGGGCAATCAAACCAGCTTCCGTTTTCGACCACTACTTCTATACATAACCCCTCATGTGTTGATATTAGGGCTTACCAAGTGGAATCCACCTCTTTGATTCCTAGGTTTTAATACCTGTTTCATGCGAACGGAGCAAAAGGGGTAGGTGGGTAGTGATTTCTCGACCATTGTGTGGTCCGAGTGTGTGCTAGGTTCAGCAAGACTTCGGAGACCCCTACTAATTCCTGGCTTAACGGTATATCCGAAAATACCTGCTGTTATATCGGTTAGGTTCAGATTTGGGATGCAGTGAGGCAAGTAAATTCTCATTTAAGTAGGTTGAATATGAGAGAACGTGAGTGTGGATATACCGATTAAACAATAGGTTTTAGAGCCATGACAGACAAGCAGACCGGAAAGTTCGGCAGAAAGCTTTTTCCAACTTACCCGGTTTGTGCTGGGTTTCAGCTGCATTCCCTCGGTAAACATGGTTGATATTTGATTGGGCGAATTTCAGTTTAGTCTTCTCAGACTTGGAAAATTTGGAGTTCATTCTGTGAGCTGAAGACCCGCATTGGCTTTTGTCAATGCCGGCACAAAATTACCAAGGAGAAACGAGAGGATCAGACCACGGATAGCGGCAAATATAGACGCAAAGTGTGCAAAGTCCCGTAGACCGAGAATCCAAATAAGCTATAAAAAACAGAATTTGGGTTCAGAAGCACAAAAAGGCTAGGATTCGTGGAACGGGTATCAAACAAAAAGAGCACGCGCACGGCGTGTGCTTCACAAGTCGTAGCGGTTTTAAACGAAAGTGCATAAATGAAGTAAAAGACATAAGATGTAAGACTGTTCTTAGAAGCTTTTATCATATTCAGGTGTGTTGCGTGCATTGTCTGACTGATGGCCTGACCGCAGATCTGAAACGAGAAATTCGAAACAAAGCCGGTACCACACCATCCTCTCCCACCGAAAGGCTTCGCATTCGATGCCAACTCATTACCTGGTTCATGTGCCTCCGTTATCATGAACACCAGCTTCGTTATAGCATTTGGCAGAGATTAGACGTTGGGGTAATGAAGGAAAAGGTGCGTTGAAACTTGCCGGTTTCAGACAATTGGTGGATAATATTTGAGTGATCCCCATTAGCAGATGTCCCACAAACACATGTGGAATAAGTAGGAAATTTTTCAACGAAAGGCAAGCATCAGCGGTAGGGGGAAAGGGTGTGGGAAGCACCCCCTTAAGCGATTAAGCAAGTAACTGGATTCATTTGCAAGATTTGTGAGATCCCTACCTTGCTCTGTCTGGCGTACCGTTAGCTTACTGTAGTTATTCACTGTGGGAAATATCTGTAGCGGTTGCAACGATTTATATAAAAAATATTTTTCATTGGGAGTGGGCATCGTATACTATACTTTGGGTGAAAGACCCAACCGGGTGAGGTATGATGCCCACCAGTGGGCACCTTACTTCACCCCGTCTCTAAATGCTTAAGAATGTACACACAGATATATATATATATATATATGTATATGTATATATATATATATATATATGAACCCATGCTGAGGTTGATGTCGCATTCATGATGCTTCTTCACCGCAGTTGGGCTAAACCAACCTACACTTAAACTAGGTCTTTTTAATGTGGATAAAATTTATTACATTTTATTCGGTTTATCCTGCGTACTTGATAATCTCCCAACTTACACACGTCGCTCATGCAAATTGTGGTAGCCTTGCGTAATTTTATCGCGCTTGGAATGTTTTAACTAACTTTCGGACATTTTGTACTTATCGCGTATTCACATTTAACCATCTTCCATATGCTCATTTAGCGAGTATTTATGTCGTCATATGCGTTTACTTTATTCCATATCGGCATTTCGAATGATTGGCTGTTGTTTGACATCCCAGGTGTGGCTGCGCTTGATGTGCATGTTGACAAGGTGCCTACCTGTCTACTACCCACTACCTCGTCCATCTGGCTCCAGGAGACAGTTGGTCGTTGCTGGACGGGACGGGGTGCACGGTCCTTGTGGTCGTGCTAGGCTCGAAGAGTGGTTCCATGCACTCAGTGTGGAGCGGACTACGGTCCAGCCACCGCCTTGTGTGTGGTTGATTCCCCAAATACATCGTGCTTGTGTTTGCCTGTGAAGGAGTGTGGGCCGGCTCCGTTGATGAAATGTGGCTCCCATCCACATGCCTCCCGGTCTTATTCCTTCGGGTTTACACTGGATATGGGGTGTGTGGATGGAGCTGTGGGTGGTGCAGCGCAAGCCATCCATGGTCCCTCTGTAGGCGCAGGCGTCCTGTGGCTGGCCACAGTGACAGGCAAATCCGAAACCGGATGCCGCCAACCATATATATAAACCTCCTGGTGCCAGCTGGGTGATGCGAGTTTTTCCTGTTCCAAGAAATGGTTCGGCGACAGTGTCTCAGGACGTGGTCAGTCTTCACCTGGCAAGCATTCTCCCAATAAGAAGCCACAAATGTCTGTTTAACAACACTGCGACGTGGCGGATGTGACTCGTAACTAAATAAAGTCACTGCCCCTTGCCTCTCCCTGATGCATTGTACTTCAAGGGTGCGTTGGGCCCCTGGTCCTTTACGGACCGAAAGGTGCATGAACCATTTATTTGGTCACCGGCTCCCAATGGGTTGCGACGCCCTCACATCGCTCTGCTGCCTTGTAGGTTAGATCTTTGATCTAAGGCTCGGGGTAAGACCCCTTAAGACAACCCTCTACTTCGGCATAGGCAACCGGGTAGTATCACGCCCACTGACGAATCATGGACCACACTGCTTACTACTGCTCTTGCTATGCCTATCTTCTATGCTAACTCAACTGCTCAACCTCCACTCACAGATCACCCCACCTCCCCTCCTTCACCTACATGTACTCTTATGTCTTCTACGGTCACGGTCACAAACGACCCACGTCACGCAACTGATGGAAGTAACAGCCAAACACAATGTTTTCAATGTCCTGCGACCGCAACCGTCTCTCACTCCACCGGAGATCCAGCTCTTCTTCGACCTGGTTCTCCATTCATCCTCACAGCGTTTAATATTCGAACTTTGATGCAGATCGGACGACAAGCATATCTGGCCCGTACTCTTGAAACGCTCTCGGTAGACATCTGTTGCCTTCCAGAGACCAGGTTACAATACTTTAGCGTCGTCATAAGAATGGCCTCTCTGGTAAACCCTAAAGCCAAATACCACTTGCGGCTTTCCGGAGACCCAGAAGCTACCGCCTCCGGCCAAGCTGGTGTTGGAGTTGCACTCAGTTCCACAGCTGAATCAACTCTGCTTGACTGAACCCCAGTCAACAGTCAGCTATGTGCAGTCAGACTGAGGTTCATGTAATGTAAGCAGGTGTCGATACGTTAAGCGTGCCTTGTTTGTCGTCTCTGTCTATGCCCCTACAGACTGCAACTCGGATGCAGTCAAGGAGTTTTTACCATCAGCTACAGGAACTGCGTTCCTCCAAAAGGACTGATATAGTCATCCTTGCCGGGGACTCTAACGCACGGGTGGGCCGCCTTCCACCAAGCGAGCACCACGTTGGGGGTAATTTTGGTCTCGGTGGCAGTCGATCAGACAATGGACACAGACTGCTTGCTCTCTGCTCTGAATATCGCCTGTTTCTTTCGAGCAATAGTTTTCGGCACTCGAGGAGACACATTGCTACCTGGCGCCCGCCCTCGCAAACGCAAGAGTGCTCCCAGCTTGACCACATAGCAATCAGCTACATATGACCCGGAAGCGTAACGGACTGCTGCTCGTACCGGTCAACTTATCTAGACTCCGATCACGCATTGGTTTGTGCTAAGATCTGCATGCGTTTCGGAGGATCGCCCAAGCGCGCTCACTCTACCGATCGGACGTCGCAAAGCTACAAAACTCTGCGATTTTAACCAAGTACCAAGCCTCACTGTCAACCTTGCTTGGTCCAACTATTGACGGTGACCTTGATTCATAGTGGGCGCAGATCAAAGATGCTATAGTTTCCGCCAGTATCGACACTTGTTGAATTGCCTGTCACCCACCGAAGCATTGGATTTCCGCCGTCTCCTTGTCGCTGATGGACAAACGCCGCTTGATCCCGTCGGATTCCAGAGAGTGAAGAACGCTAATCCCTGGGTCGAGAATTGCGCAGGAGTCTGCAAATGGACCACGAAGCTTGGTGAAGGTGCTAGGGAGATGGAGCTTGCTAATCTCTCTGGTAATACCAGAAAACTTCCATCTCATTCGAGTCACCGAAGGTGTTCGATCTGGTATAAGTGAAACAATATGCGAAGAGGATGGCAGCTGAAACAGTAATCTTCAACGACGGTCAGAGTGATGGGACGAACATTTTCGCTCGTAGTTTCTTTGGACCCCAGTTCCATCTGGCGTTTGCGCTGGGGCTGAGTGGTCTACCCCCACAGATCCTCATGTTCCCATCTTCAAAGGCGGCTCGCGCTTGAAATGCGGCAACCATTGAGGAATCAGTCTGATTTCCATCGCCTCCATAATTCTTCACAGACTGACTGGCGCTCGTGAAAGCCAGATTCGTGAGGAGCAAGCCGGGTTTCGTCGGGGTCGTGGCTGCATCGACCACATCTTCACCTTGCGTCAGTTGTTGGAGCACCGTCACACATATTGGCGGCCCACCCTAGTCGTGTTCCTCGACATCAAAGGTGCCTTCGATTCGGTTGACCGATGTGCCCTTTGGAATTGTTTACTCAGGTGTGCCCGAGAAATATGTAAATATTGCCCAAGCATTATATGCGCGTAGCACGGGCAGAGTGAGGGCTTAAGGCAACCTGTCGCCACCCTTCAATATCTCCAGCGGTGTGAGACAAGGATGCCTGCTGTCACCTTTCCTCTTCAACTTTGCTATTGACGAAGCCATGGAGTTTGCATTTACAGGACATGACTTGGAAGATGTGGAGCTACTCCCAGGAGAACGACTTCTTGATTTAGAGTATGCAGACGACATTGCCCTCATCTGTGACAGCTCCCAGACGTGCCAAGCCTCGCTGGACAGATTAGCACTGGCTGTCAGCCGCTTCGGGGTTTGCTTTGCACCATCGAAGTGCAAAGCGTTCCTCCAAGATTGGCAAGGATCGCCTCCTGCGCTGACCCTTAGTGGGGATCCGTTAGAAGTCGTTCGGAAATTCAATTACCTGGGAAGTTGTATCAGCGCCCTTGGGATCGAAGATGAGATCACGAATCGTATAGCGAAAGCTCGAAGTGCTTTTGCTAACCTTCGCCACCTATGGCGGCGGCGTGACATCACTCTCGTCCTGAAGGGTAGAGTGTACAATGCAGCGATACGTTCGACCCCACTGTACGGTTGCGAATCCTGGCCCCTAAGATCGGCGGACATGAAGAGGCTAGTTACGTTTGACCATCGGTGCCTTCGCAGTTTGGCTCACATCTGGTGGGAACACCGCGTGAGTAACGAGCGTGTTCGACGCATTGTTTACGGCCCAGGAAAAGGATCTAAACCGCTCAGCACGGTTATTCCACGCACCAGGCTCCGATGGCTCGGCCACGTAGTACGCATGCCAGACCACCGATTCCCTCGACGTGCGTTGTTTGCTCACCGGGGGTGTGGATGGAAGAAGAGGAGAGGTGGACAAGCGATGACTTGGTCCAGAGGAATGAAGGCTATCACTTCGAGGCTGGCCTCAGTTG